ATATGTCTTAACATTACGAGAATAAAGTTGAATATGTCTTAACATTATGAGAATAAAGTTGTACGATACTTTTTTTTTTTGCAGCTCTCGTTTATTTAATTTTTTCCATGAGTCGAATCCACGACACAGCCTGTCAATCAATCCATTAGGCGTGTCAGCAAATGACCAATCTGAAGCTAAACGAGTCGAAATATTATTAGGAATGCGCCGATCCATTTTTTTCCACTTCCAATACCGATATCGATCCGATATCGATCTGATACAGAAAACGATACTGAATTCTGTTCAACAAACTCAGCGTGCTCTTTAGGGTGAAATCTCTGGAGATGCTTGATTAAGTTGGTCGTGTTATAACTGGAAGTTTTAGTGACACCCACTGGAACCGTCGCTGTGCACGTATTGCACGTAGCTGTCGAATGTGTTGGCTGAGGTCGTGTGAAATAGTTCCAGAAGGCTGATCCTTTCGCTCGCTCCATTTTGAAAACAATCTGTGCGGTGAGTTCGCTGGCGCGTGACGTCACTCAGAGCACAAAGCGTAGAATTAAGAGTGAATGGATCTGCCCAGTCATGTCACATTGTCGTGGATACCCGATCCAGAAGTTTTTTCGATATCTGTGCAATATCGATATTGGTATCGGATATTATCCGAACTCCGACATGATAAATCAGGGTTTACCATTTTAACTGTGGCAAAATTAAGAATGTTGAGCATCTTAAGTTATACTTTGGTATTAGTTTTACAAATAAGGAGCTAGTTAATCTGTGAGCACATCAGCATCAGATTATCATCAGTATTAGGACTTTGAACCTGCTTACAGTAAGGTGGAACGCTCTGATGGGCCGCAGCACAGCTCTGCAGGTAAAGAGCATTTAGCTTTGGATTGCTCATTTCCTGACATGCCTACTGGATTGATTGACAGGTCGCGCCATGGACCAGACTCGTGGAAATAAATAAATAAATAAACGAGAGCCGCAAAAAAAAAAAAAAGTCCCGTATGACTTTATTCTCATGATATTAAGGATTTTAATTTTTTTCTTAGCGTGGCCTTAAAGCTCCGTCATACTCTTTCTTGTGAGTTCATAAAAAAAAACATTCTATAAAATCAGCAAAGTGAAATAATTATTCTTGTGGAAAATACGGCTTCTTCATTTTTTTCCACCCTTGACTTGATTTAGCAGCGGCTCTAACGTTGTTGTTGGAATTCTGCATCTTTTAGAGTTTTTAATGTTTTTAAAATCAGATTAAACACAAGATTTAAAGCAGCAAATAGACAAAACATAATTCATGCAGACGAGTTGAATTTTACCACAAGTCGAGCATGAGATTCAACGAACACGTCTTCCCCCCTTTTTGTTGTTTTTAACCATTTGTCTAACTAAACTGTGAAGACTTTTGGTCAACCTGTGCTGTTTGTAGCTGCATTCTTCATAAAACCTGGAGTTATTTAACTCTCAGCAACATTCTTCAATCAGCAGGTGAAGTTCGGCTGCAAACGAGCTCCATTAAAATGCAGCCCGGGTCGCAGGAGATCTCCAGAGCTGATAAACAGGAAAGAGAGGACAGCTGATCAGCACTGAAGCCAATTAACAGGAGCAACGCTGCTAAAAATAGATTTGAAATATGAAGAAAATGGTTTGCGTTGATGAAAAACAAAGGAGAGATTTTATTCCAAATAATTAACTTGTTTTTAAAACATGATGAGCAAAAGAAACCAGCAGATTAAATAAAAACTTCAGTTGCTTCATGGAAAAGAGTCATCGCTTTACAAAAGCAACACTTTTAGCTGATCTTGAGTCCACACAGAGACCAGAACAGAAGAGCACGATCCAAAAGTTTCTTGTAGCCACCAAAATCCTGGCATGGGGTTTTCACTGGACTTCAGTGAACCAAGCGGTACACCAACGTCCCCCGTCGACTCTGACTGCCTCAGAGGACCAGAAACCATCTTAACACCATAAAACTGGTTGACCCACTATGTCAGTAAGCCACTTATGGGACTGAGTTTGTTGTGGCTCCTTGGACTGATGAAGTCCTTTGGATGAAGGATGAAACGTTTTATCATAAAACAGAAACCGTCCAGAAGAATAGACGTGGTTTATTTTTCACTCGTCTGAGGCAGCGCAGTGATGGATCCTAGTGAGAAGAGGGAGCAGTTTTATCCAACACCAGGTGCAGTGGTGGAGCCAGGGGGTGGCCAACGGTGGCCTTGGTCACCATAGATTACTCTTTGGCCACCTTGATCATTTGTTTGACAAAACTATACTTTTAAGCAACATAATAACTAGAAAGCAGTTTCCAAAAATGATAAAGGTGGTCGGATTACATGTTTATATGGCAGTGGCCATCTTGGATTTTGACGTGGCAACCCAATTTTCAATAGAAACATTTTATACGCCTAGATGCGGCCACACGCCAAAAGGAAAGTTGGTACCTCCCTTATTGTTCCAAGTTTTCAAGTTCACAACATGGACGGACAGACCGACTGAAGGTATTCCTCTTTGTTCGCCGGCAGGGGGGCAAAAAGGCCACATTTGAAACCTGTATTAAGTCATTTAGTAAAATCATAACAAGGATATATTGTTTGGATCAACAAACTTTCTCAAATTCACCACCAATTTCACATTCTGGCAGGTAAATATGAAGACATGAATCCGTTTGACTGAATCTAAATGTGATAAGTTCCTGAACATGGAAAGTCCAGGACTCTATTTCTTCCATATTTGTTTTGTTAGAGATTAATCAGTGATTTATCACATTCAAAGACTGATGGGACGCACATCGGAGGCAATGAGGGGTTCAGTGTCTTGCCCAGGGACACTTTGGCATGTGACTGCTGGTGGAATTGAACTCCCAACTCTCCCATTGGAGGACGACTGCTCTAACCACTCAGCCACAGCCGCCCCATCTAAAGGTCAAATCATCTAAAGATGTTCAATAACTACAAGTAGAAGATGATCAAAGCTTTCTTAACTTGCTAATACTCGCTGGGTTTTCTTCTGTTATTTAACCTATGTGACGTCATGACTGTGACAGACAAAAAAACGCCATTAATTATATAAAACTGCTTATTTGAAAAAAATGTCCAATTATTGCTAAACGTCAGGTTTGGGTAAAGGTTATTTGATTTGTCCAACAAAGTTAAATCTGGTCCTCTGGACGGTTTCTTTTTGTTGAAAGACTTCGTCAGTCTGAGGAGCTGCAACAAAAACACAACTTTGATATTTTGAACCACTTTGTCCATGTCTGCCTCAAAAGAGTCGACGGGGGAGAGGGCGCACTCCAGAAACCATCTGAGCTCCATCAAACTGGTTGATCCACGATGTGAAGGTGCTTTTTATAGGACTGACTTTGTTGTGGCTCCTCGAATAAGAAACCGTCCATGGTCCAGAGGGCCTGACTTACCAGTAACTGTTGGATTTTTGTACCTGGAATATCGAGCATGAACTTTGAGATATTTAGTTTGCTTACTTAAAATCCAGCTGCAAACAGAAAGGTGGAGCTTACGTGGGTTTTTCGTTGGTGATGAGCACTTTGACTTTGTTGAGGGCCTTTTTGGCCCCAGTGGGAGCCGGAGCAGCAGCAGGCGCAGGTTTGGTGTGTGCTGGGCTCGCATGAGGGCTGGCGATGTAGACCTTCTTACCAGTGCTGCCTGGTGGTTTGGAGTGGGAAAAGTCTGTGATGAAGACTATTCCTTCACTGGTCAACACTGCCCAAAAAAACATAAAAACTTTTTAGGGCTCCTGGTTTAAAACAACAGCAAAAAAACAACAAAAAAAAAACATTAGCTGATTTATTTTTATTACTGTTTTGTTGCTTATATTTTTACCAGCCAGAAGACGAGACAATAAGACAACCTTGCTACACGAGAGGCTCCCAAACCAGTATCTTACTGGGCTGCAACTGATGGAGACGAGCTGGCAACTCAAAATTAGCAAATTTCAAGAAAATCTGCAAATTGTCATGTTCGGTCTGAGTGTTTGAACACAAGCAGCATGTTTCGAGCAGCCAGTTTGTGAAGATCATTGCATATTTCTGTCTGGACAGCTCACAAATGACATTCTCGGGCCAGGCACAATATTCTATTGCCCATCTCAGCCCACATGGTACCCACCTTGGCAGCTAAAGACAGACAGATATGAAACAGTTTTCAATGAATTATTGATTGTCAGTGAGGCTTATGGACCTGGACATTAGCCCGTGTAGGTAATAGGATGGAGAACAACAAAATTAAATTGGGTTAAGATGGTTTATTAACATTTGTCAACAGAGATTTTAAATTCTGACTGATAATAGATGGACATTCTAAAACAAAATGATTGTTAGACCTTTAAAACTTTGGAGCACTCAGCTCATAAAACACATTATATATATGAAGTTATTAAAGTTGGCTAACTGTTATTCCAGGAGCTCTGCTTGTCAGGGAGTGGAAAAGTAAAACTGTGAATGAACTAACGATGTGCGACCTACATGCCAGGTTGGAGGGATCGAAGGGGTCGAACGAAAAGGACAGGATATTCTCAGCGTAGCTCTTCTTCCACAGTTTGGCGCCCGTGTCTCCGTTCCACAGAACGATGTAGTTTGGAGGGTGGACGGCCAGAAGAAGATCACGAGACGCATCCTGATTCCACAGCCACTCCAAATCTGACGAGAGCACGGCAGAAGGAAGAAAAACAAGCAGCTCACTTTAATGTCTCCTTCTGTCAGACAAATCAAAGCCTTCGAGAACTTAAAGCTCCTTACCCTGGATAGGTTTGGAGTGCTCCTGGATCTCACAGTGAGCCGTGCCGCTGACCACGTCCCACACGATGATCTTCCCCGACGCGTCCCCTGAGGCCAGCCGCAGACAGTACGGAGAGCTCAGGTTGTGGTAGTAATTTTCCCTCGACCATTTCACCTACCAGAACAAAACACCGAGTAAGATTTAGCCCAACTAAAGACATCGTAGACCAACTGGCAACTCAACATTGACTCAGTACTGTGAGAAAACAGGAAATCTTCCAGTGCAGTCTCAGATTCTTAGTGTTTCCCACCAAATGTCCAAAGACCTGGTGCCTGAGCAACCAGTTCTTAAAAAAATCACATCTTATTTATAGATTATTTTCTTGAAAAACTTTAGGGGTGTAACAAGGATGAAACAGCGGTCTCATGAAACCCCAGACTCCTCACTCTGTCTGGTTAAATTATGACCGAAGAGGTCTCCATCCATCCATCCATTTTCTTCCACTTATCCGGGGTCGGGTCGCGGGGGTAGCAGCCTAAGTAGGGAGGCCCAGACTTCCCTCTCCCCAGCCACTTGGGCCAGCTCTTCAGGGGGAATCCCGAGGCGTTCCCAGGCCAGTCGAGAAACATAGTCCCTCCAGCGTGTCCTGGGTCTTCCTCTGGGCCTCCTTCCAGTGGGACGTGTCCGGAACACCTCAGGGAGGCGTCCAGAAGGCATACTAACCAGATGCCCAAGCCACCTCAACTGGCTCCTCTCGACGTGGAGAAGCAGCAGCTCTACTCTGAGTCCCTCCCGGATGATTGAGCTTCTCACCGAAGAGGTCTCCACCATTTTAAATGCTTTATGCATCAGCAGTTACATTCAAGGGTAAGGCACTAAAACCAAGGAGTCATGTCATTGGAAAGGCAGCCATGTTCTTCCTACAGCTACGTGCTGACACGAAGAGCGCCACAGATTTACTCAAAACAGAACAGACTTCGTGTAAGTTCGCACGGCCATTTCTCAACTTTGGAGCAGAGAAAATAAAAGTTTGAACATCTAAAAAAAATCCATTTGAGTTCAGAGAAAATGAGATGGAGAAAAAGACTAAGGTAAAATACGTTGAACTGATCCGTTCCCCGAGACCCCCGCAAGCTATTTAATTATCTGTGTTCAGCAGTGTGAGCAACTCTTCTCTGTGATGAAAATAATAACAACTAGAACTGCGAGCCGTTATTATTACCGGGGTCCAAGCCACCTGAAGCATGTCAACCATGGCGCATGTTGCCCCCAGCACCCTGACGATCCCCTGTGCATCACAGATTTGAGGCGTAATGAGAAGCAGTTATAAGGTGTATCTGAGGCCTCAAAGTCTCTGGAGCTTTTTGTACCAGTGTATTTGTATGTATTTATTTTACTAAACTCGTGTAAGTAAAGTGGTGCTTGAAAGATTATGAAGCCTTTAGATTTTTTTTTTTTTTATTTCTGCATCAATATGAGCTGATCAGATTTTCACACAAGT